CTTTTTTCTGTTCTACTTAGAAAGTTTGATTGTGATCATGGTATTAGTTTGAACTGCTTCTTCTCATAAAGTAGCCAGCTGCACTGCACTTGACTCACAACAAAACACCCCAGAAAATATTAAAAAGTTTTAGGTCAATTCTTCTGTTCAGTGCCACACCAAGACTCTCAAATATGCAGAGAGGCAAATACTAGCCAAAGGTTTGAACAGGTCCTCTAGACTGAAAACCCAGTCTAGGTCTTGGCTCTTGGTTCTTGGTTCTTGGTTCTAGGGCTTGAACGTCAGGGCTTGGTTCTAATGCAGTTGCCCTTTTCAGAGAAAGCCATTTATTCACACTAAAAATATGGCCATTGAAGGCAAGGTGGCTACAAAAATGCTTTCACACTCTGCTTTCTGAGGCCTCTTCTGGACATTTAAGTGGCTCTACTGGAAAATAAGGGGAGTATACTATAGCTGGTAAAAGGAAAATGAGAGGGAAATACTGCTGCTGATAACTGGAATCCTTTGTACCTTTTAAGCAAAAGGTTATTGTTGCTTTGCTTGAAGAATAGCTTCACTATTAAGTAGTGTAGCTGTTTGTGGGACAGGAACTTGTAGTCCAGCCATTTTCAGTCTTTCCAAACAGCAGAGAAATTGGCAGCTAAGCTGCTCTAACTCTCTCGTCACTGGGGATAACATAAAATCAGAAAGAAACTGGTTTTCCAGGACTGTGTTTTCAGTACTGGAAGTTAGTAAAACTGTGTTCTGATTTGTGAAGTGAACAAACTTGATATGGAACAACAATATTTTTTTTATTTTTTATTTATTTATTATTATTTTTTTTTTTTAGTTGACTGAACTTTTCTGGTCATAAAACTTAGATGATACACTTTATCATCTAACTTTACAGTTATTTTTAGTATCTCCTACCTATATGGATTTATTTATTTATTAAGTTATTTATTAGTATATAGATACAGATGTAAGCATAGCCTGGAAAGATGAAAATTCAGAGTCCTAAGCTGGGGATGACAATATGGAAAATATGATAACTACACAGTCACAATACTGGAAGAGCTGATTGGATCAGTATCTTTCCATGTCTTCATCCTCATAATGTCTCTGTAAGGTAGAGGAATGGTGTTTATCCTATTTAGAGTTGCAAAAGCACAGCTCAAATTCCAAGGAGACTAGAGTAGGAAATAAAAAGGGTATGAAAAGCGTTTTTCAAATAAATGCCCTGACTTTTTCTAATAGGGTTAGTCACATCTCCAGATTCACTAGAATAGCCATAGTGCTCCAGGACTTGTACCAGTTTCATTTCATCCAAAGCATAAAACCAGAATAAAGGCCAAGAATTTGCATAATGATGGTATCTTCCATTTTGATTTAAAAAATTAAAAAGCTGTTATATATATATATTTTTTGATCAAAATATGAATATCTCATCAATGTATAGTAAGCCTTAAAAGTATGCATTGCAGCTATACATAACAGATAGCCTAACTTCCATTCTTACAAATTTAATATTTCTGAGTTACTTTTTTTTTTTTTTTTCTTTTTAGAGACATTACTTAAGCCTTGCACTGTGCCAAGTAAGAGTTAGATGTACTTTTCATTTCACGTCCTAGCTATTTTACATATTTATGCTTCACTTTCTTTCTAAATTCATGAGCTTGTCTTGCATTCTGAAAGAAAGATACATCTTTTCCTGTGAATACCTCATAAATACAAACAAAAACCTTTATTTAATTATATACAGGGTACAATGCAAAATCCCTCCTTCATTTTCCTCAGTTTCACACTATATTTTTAGACATCACATTTGATAAAAATTTCTGCTGACATTTGTCAATGTGTGGGACATTAACCTGAAGCTTTGGGGAATGATTTGTCAAATGTGTTCACAACCATTTTCTGTGCAAGTCATGCAGCTTATCTGCAACAAAATATTTAGATAAAGCAACACATGCCAAGAAAAAATGTGCTGCTAAAAGCAATCAAAATACACTCTCTTTCCTCTTTTTTTTTTTTTTTTTTTTTTTCTTCATTGTGACTTTTCATATGTACTCCCACATTTCTGTATTCCTAGAAATATTAATTCCTGACCTATCTTCCCATGTTCCTGGAATTTTCTTCACTTAAATGTAATTCACCTTTATAAAGCTTCAGTTTTCACTATGCCACATAACTGCAATGATTGTAGTATTCTTCTGTACTAAGATAAGGAAACATTTTTGTGTTATATTTTACATCTTTTGATAAGTCTGCAAAGATTTCCAATGAAGTTACAACAAATTTATGAAATTGTAGTGAATTCCTGCCATTTTGTAAGATTTTCAGCTTCTCATTGAAATGTTTTCACATACAGGACACAAAAAGCTTGAACCTAAATGAAAATAAAAATTCTTTATAGCCCCAAACCCTTTTCTGCACAACTGTCAGAAGTCATGAACATTGGGCCATACAATTTTGATTTTGTCAAATAAACATTTTAAATACTCAACTCATGGAAAGGTGTCCATGGAGTTGCATCAAAGAATTCATTGATACTGGCAGCATAAATAAAGAAAATCTACTGAAAATAAATGAATTTAGGATGTTTGAGTTCAAAAAGATAATTCCATGAATTAATCAGACCTTATAGAAGTCAAATGGTAATGAATATTATTAACAACCAGAAAATATTACTATGAAGCAGACACAGGATATATATATGTATAAAAGTAATTTATTTATTTATTTCCCCTCCTCCCTCCCTCCCTCCCTCCCTCCCATCCCTCCTTCCTTCCTCCCTCCCTCCCCTGCCTTCCTTCCTTCCTTCTTTCCTTCCTTCCTTCCTTCCTTCCTCCTTCCTTCCTTCCTTCCTTCCTTCCTTCCTTCCTTCCTTCCTTCCTTCCTTCCTTCCTTCCTTCCTTCCTTCCTTCCTCTCCTTCCTTCCTTCCTTCCTTCCTTCTCCCTTTATATTTGCTATTAATTTGCCTTTATCTCACCTACAATTTTTTTTATTTTTTTATTTTTTTTTTTAACTGATTATCTCCCCCGTCCCACTGTTGTTGTGGGAGAGTGGGTGAACAACTGTGTGATCCTTAGCTGCTTGCAGGGTTACACCACAACTTCCAGAGGTCTGTGATAAACTTGCCCACTATACTGGAAGGCTGTGGGGAGACTAAATATGGGAGAAAAAACAGAATCTGTAACTGCGATTTATACTGATATGAGTACACTCTAATCTAGATGTAAATTAAAAAATAAGTGACTTGAGTCCTATTTTTTTCAGTAATGGTTCTCCTTGTGAATGAAACCAGATTCTTTGGGACAGCTACAGACAATGTATTCAGGCAATGTATGTATACTTTCTATATTTGTTTTGATGATATTACTTGACAAAGCACACAATTTGTAAATCTGTCGCTTACAAATTGATTACCTAGCCCATCCCATGCTGATTTTTTCATTGGGAAAAATCTCTCATGAGCTTTCCTCGGGTTTTAGTAAAGCAGGCCTCAAACTCAGGTCAGTAAAACTTGAGTGAAGTGGAGGGAGTTGTGTCAAGAAGGAATCTGCTTTGTTATTTTGCTATTAAGATTCATAGAGATTTTTACCCCTGAAGTAGAAGGGCAAAGTACAGGGCAACATGGTCAAATAAAATTAGTTTAGAGGTTATACACAGGCAGGGAAGAACACCCTTTTCTATTTGATTGCTATTTTCAAACAGTCAAATATCCCTGCAACATAAATACCTTTCTCTGGAAAAGTGAGAGGAAATGGATGAAACAGGAGCGTGACCCAGTCTTAACAATAGTGAATACAATAAAACCTACTCAAAATGATTTATTCTATACTAATAAATACCTTCAGATATTCCTCACGACAAGGACTATTTCACTGCAGTTTTTGTGCAAGCAGAAACGTAATCCAGAGCTGCAGGCTAAAAGCTATTGCAAATGTACACAGATGTTAACACTAGGGTAAAGTCAACACTGCAAAACTAAAAACGTAAATAGATAGCCTCCATTGTGAAAAGAAAATCCTAAAATTGCTAGTAAATGTTAAAAATAATGGAAAATACAGAGACCAGAACTTTAAACAACCAGACAGCTACAGACCCTTCAATGAAAGTTTCAGATTCTTACCTCTGAAAAGGTAAAAGATTGTTCTGAAACTGCAAAACTTGGTGAGATTTCTCCATATGCAATACCAAGAATGTTGGAGAAGCTGTTTGCCTATCTGAGCCTGATAGTAATTAGAGGCTAAAGATCAGTGTGAGAAAATGAAATTTAAAATAAACATGCCCTGAACTTTAAAAAAGGGTAAGATTTTCTTTGTAGACAAATCACGTTCACAGATATGAGAAGAGTTTGCAGCCTCTAACAGAACTTGAAGTGTAGAAAGGAGAAAGCTATATGGAAGGCAGAATAAAATAGTGAAGACAGGGATAACATTTAATTGGAGATTATTTTCTTATATTGCTTTCTGCACACATTGGTTGTGTGATATAACAAAGAAAAGTGAAATGAACAGGATTAAAAGAAAGCTTGTAAGAGAAAAAGCAAGGTTAGAGGGATAGGGAAAACAAGAAACTGCTTTGGAGAAGGATTACATGCAATATGGATTAGCAGACATATGGGAAGACTAGTACACAAATGCAAAAGAAATAGAAAAACATGTCCATAAGCATTTCTTCTCTTGTATCAACTGACTTGTCAGTTTTCCATGTCTTGTGTTGAAAGACATTGCCAGCCTTTTAGGTCACAGATTGCTTATTACAGGGTGTTATGAAGTGTGGCACAATGGAGACCTTTGCCTACAGCACTGGGGTGTAACACTAATAAGAGGACTATTTTTTTTTCTTTCTTAATTAATAAAAAAGAGTTTCCAAGTTCTGAAATCAATTTAACAATTATTATGACCGCCAAAAGACTGTTCCAGTGCTCTGTGTGTAGATAATGTAAGCCTGTAATGTAAAGAAACCTCTTTAATCTAAAAAAAAAAAATAAATCATAAAACACTTGACTTACCTATGAGAGCAGAGCTCCCTGGACTGATGGCCATTTTTGTTCCTGAAGGAGAAGTCAGCACTGAAGGAAGTCTGGTCCCAGTGCTGAAAAGCACTGCTGTAAAGTCTTCTAGTTGAGGAAGGGGTCGTGGAGGCTCTAGTAACAGATTGGGAAACTGAAGTGATTAGCAATACTATAGCAGAAAATACCTCAGGGACTTAAAAAAACCACACCACTACCTGCTACTGCATTACTGGCCATGCTGCAACATTATAATTTCAAAGGGGCACTCTAAGCAACTTCAGGAAATTACTAAAGGTGTGCTTTATTTGATATTAGGTAAGGCACTAGAGGAAGTATTAAAATAACATCTAGATAAGTATGACTACAAAATAAAAGAAATTATGTCTGAAGGCTACCATGGCATTATAGGTTGACCATTTTTGTATGTACTGAAAGTATGTGGTATCAGGAGATAAAGGGCAAATTTATACAGCATAGCAGCCTAATCAAATGTCCATGGCAGTCACTTGAAAACTTTTCATGTCTGCTACAGACTGAATCATGCCATGATTAAATATGGTTATAACCCTGTCAAAACTTGTGGTATACTTAGGCAGAGCTCCAAGGGACTAAGAGCTCAAAGAGCTCAAGAGGATCAGTCTACACTGAGAACTGCATGATTTAGTCCTCTATAACAGTAACACTATTTAAAAAAAAGATTGCATTGCTTATCATTCCCAATTCTTTTTGTTGTGGAAATTATAGAATATTTGATTTAAATGAATGGTGGCCTCATCACTTTTCGATAAGATCACAGCACAAACCGAACAATATTTCTGCTGCTCAGCATATTCAACACCAGAAGTACATGGATGCTTGTACTATTTATTTCCACCAAGAAACTGAAAATGCGATTTGCCTAAAAGAAAAAGCTTACATAACCCACAGTAACTTTGAATCTTTAAAAAAAAAGCCATTTTTAGAGGTCAGAAAAGCATCTAAAAATCTTGTGTGAGTTCTGATGTATAGCCTGAAACCCAGTTGATATTTATTGCAGATTTTTTTTCAACTCAGTTTCTAGAGCCAGTTGGGATTCATAGGGGAATCTTGTGGATGCTGTTAGAAGGACTTTAGTGTTATCTGTGAAACTGCAAGAAATATCACTTTAAAACTTCCTCTGGAAGCTCTATCATCCATAAGACCTATGCTCACTCCAGTAATGAAAAATGAGAGCTGTACTGGCTGCTTTAGTGATTTTGTACCAATAGCATGGACTAGGTTTCAAAATTTGACACTTCACTATCAAATGTACTAAAGCATTTACATAGTCTGGTTGGATCATTCACCTTCCAGGCAGGGAGAAATAATAGAGGTGAGCTGCTCAGAAAGGAAAGCCCTTTCCCACACACTCAGTTACCACCAGGTAACACTTCCACCCATATTTCACAACTGACATTGTCTTTTTAAATCACTGAGACAGGCTTTCTGCCTGTTATTTGGAAACCCAAGAAAAAGTAAACTTCACCGAACTTGGGAAGTGTTTTTTTGAAAGTGCACTGTGTTTATGCACCTGCTTGATATGAAATGGGTCAGTACGACACAGCCATGTACCAGAAAGACTGCCAAGCAGAAGCAGAGCACTTCACAGGGAAAAAAGTGGCATCAATCTCATCTCAAGAGAGCCACTTTTAGAAATTGTTAATAAATGTTTTTCTTAGCCAGTAGGTCTGAAAGAGTGAAGTTGGATATGTCAAGACTGGGAGGGGCTGTCCCTGGGTTCAAACATTTTGTCTGTATGTCATTCACTCTCTCCATGTTCTCTGACTAATTCTGAAGGCTAATTGTGCCATCAGCCATATTTCTGTGGCTTCAAATGAAAAATACCCTGAACTTACCAAGAACAAACAGCTGGGAGCTTTCAGTTACCTCCCCACGAAGATTGGCTGCCTTGCAGGAGTATAAACCCTGATCTGCCAGAGAAACATTCGCAATTAGCAGCAACCCATCATGCAGGTGGTGAGCAGAGGATAGCTTCACCTTATTTTTAAACCAAGTAACTTCTGCTTCAGGAACACCTGGAAAAACATTGACAACATATAACACACGTAAGATATAGTAGTTGCTGAACAGTGTCACAGTTGCTGCAGACAAAATGTTTAAGACAGAAAAATTAAAACAAGCTTTTAACATGACTTTCAAGTAACATTTTTTTTTTTTTTTTGCAGTTCAGAACTGTTAAGTCAACTCCTTCAGACTGTCTACCTTGTATTTCTTAGATACCTCTGAGGCAAAGCAGAATTAAAATGCAACTGAAGTCTTCTTTTTATACCCTAAGGTTGTACAAGAGAACAGTGAAATCATCACTCTTAAAAGCAAGTCTATATGGGATCAGAATGATGGTTAATCTAGTTTAGTATGCTGTCTCCAGCAGCAGTCATAAGCTGGTGCCTCAGGAAGAGTAAGAAAAAGACAAACATATACAATGCTTCCTGCTAACACTCTCCCAGCATCCTCCCATGTTCAGCTTAGGAACTTCCTAAGCCAGAAGTAGTTTCTGTGCATTTAGGAAGCCTCCATGGATTTCCTTTCTATGAATTCATCCAATCTTATTTTCTGAATGTAGGCAAATAATTGGCATTTACATCTTCAGAAAAGCAGTTCCACTGATCTAGCCAGGAGTGTTCATACAACACGTTCTTACAGATTCATAACCCACTACAGGAGAAATTGCTTCCCTTCATGTGCTTTGATCTAAGGTGCCTCTCTATTTGGTGCGCTCTTGTAGAAAGAGGCTCTCATCTGTAGCTATCAAGACTGCTGCTCTTGCAGTAAAGAGCATTTCCTTGATATACTGATATTTAGTTCAATTTAAATGCATGTTGTATCAGGCAATTCAGTGTCACTGACTACTAAACCATTGGTTTATGTGAATAGTACTGGAAGCTTTAATAGATGGGATAGATCCGTGGAGTTGTGCCTGAGAGAAACAGTTACTATGTGCTACTGTAAAGAGCAGTACATACCTCATCCCGGTAACTGATGGAGTGTACAATATCCCAGTTGCTGTATCCTCTGTAAGTGGGAACCAGTTAACCACTTTTGCATGAATGTCCAGTTTCCTTGTGTTTATTATAGACTAAAGGAATGTTTTAGGGCAACTATTCTTAAGCATATGTTTCTCACCTAAATCTTTCCCTGACTTATTTCACAGCAACATGGTCCTCTGCCCACTGCCAGTACTTCATCAGTTGTGTATCCACATTACAAAAGAAAAGCCACTCTGTTTGTCTGTTTTGTGATCTTGGCACTAGAAATACCTCTGGCTGTGCTCACTAAGAATGACCACCCATTTGTCTGTATTTATAGTGACTGGTTGATTGTAGCTTCCTCACTAAGCATGTGCAGATGGAAGTGGGAAAGGGTTTTCCCTGTTCTTCCACATCAAAGTATTTTGTCCTTTTTTTCCACCTCTTCCAGAATTACCTGTTGACTTTGCCAAGACATCTGGAATGAGTACATCTGAGCTTGGCAGACAGGAAGGTCTGTAAGGGCAGAGAGTCTTATCCACATTCATAAATTAGAAGGAAATAGTCTGTAAAAGACTGTAAGATTTTTCTCATGTTTGGTAGTTAGTAATACATACTAATCTGAAACCTTCATGGCATACTGAGAGTACCAATTGTTTTTGTCTGTGATGCTGTTTTCCAAATGCTTACCTTTGCTTATGTTTCTATACCTCAACTTTTTTTTTTTTTTTTTTTTTTTTTTTTTTTTTTTTTTAAGCATGGGTTATTGGCCTGTTTTTGAACTCCCAGCTGGGACAGAACCTGTACACAGCTCTCCATCTGGCTGCTACTCTTTGACCTGTGTGGCATGGGTGGGCCGACCACCACTTAAAAGCTCACTTTGATTTTTTCCAGATTATCCAGGCAGAGTCCTCATGGGAGTTCCAACAACCACAGGATAGCAAACAACCCCAACCCTTACGTTTTTCAAGCCTGTGTGTTTATTGTGGTTCCTTTGCAAGGAAAGGAAGTATGAGAGGTGAGTTCTGGAGAGATGAGAGAAAATGGAGACTCTTCCAGTTCTGCAGTCCCTGAGATCGTACACACACATACCAGAACTTTTCCTCTCAGTGTCACACTAGTCAAGGGATGATCAGTTCTTTCTTGCAGTTTAAATTAGTTACAGTGCACAGATTTTCATATTATGGCTATTGTCAAACTTAGGCATGGAAGCAATAGGTACCTCAGAAATAAACAATAATAGGCTTATAAAATTATAAAACTGAGATTTCTTCCATTCCCAGTAAGGTTCTTCTTTCTTTCCTTTGAATAGGAAGACATGGGTAGAGCTTTCAAGTTCTTCTTGACAATAGGTCAGTGGAAACAGTGTGAGAATAGGGGGGATGAGGAATGCTGAGAGAAGTAAAGAATTAGGTGAAGGTGTAATGAAAACTGAGGATCTCGTATAATCTCAGTTCCATGGAACAGGGACTTAAAATGAATAAATACAGACAGGCAGACAGAAAAATAATTTGCTCATTGCAGAGAGCTGCTCTTAGAGGCTTACTCCAGAAAGGTAGGTTCTTGTATTCACTTCACTAGAAGAACCAACAAGGAATTGTTGGTTTATTACAGCAAGGTAAGGTTCACTGTAATTGTGTTCAGTCTATGAAAGCATTATACCTGCAAGATGTCCAGCATCCCTACAAAACCATTTCTCTGGCTGCTGCTTTAAAAAGGGACTTCTTCCTCTGCCTTTTATGTGAAGTTTCTACACTAAAATGAGATGTTTTGAAACCAAATCTTACAGCATTTCCTACAGCTTGTCTTAGGGAAAATAAGAAGTGTTGTATGTGTCAGGGAGCAACAGACTCATTTTCTATTATGCTTTGACCTTTACTGACACATGTAGACCTAAAGTATTTCAAGACAAAAATAGGAGGCAGACAGCACAGGCATGAGCAAATGCATTATTGCACAGCATTGCCACAAGGGGTAGCAAGAGCATTTCAATCAGTTTTGTTGGATAATGGTGAATGAGAGAGGACAGAAGGCTGAATGTGTTCGCTTTGCAGAAACAATCACAGAGACTGAAAGTCTGAGAACTGCCAGCTGGAAACAAACCTCACTTTGCTGGGCAGACAAAACTTTAGGCAGTGAATAGTTACTCAATATTTATTTTTCTTCAGCTTTCCCCTCCATCACTGTGCAGGCATCAAGCACAACAAAGGTTACCTTTGCTTGTATGTAACAAGCAGAACTGTGCACACCAATCAAGATGATTTTGCTAAAACAGGAGTTTTTTGGGAAAGGAAGCATAACAATGCAAGAATCTAGCTGTGATTACTTGTTTTCTGTGCCACAATATTCTGACATATATCAGAATCTGGCACAGTTGAGGAACAAATATGGGTCACAAAGCAAGGCAAGAACTAGAAAAGTACAACCTCCAGCATACAGATGAAACACAGAAGAAAGAAATGCTTAGGACAGCTGAAAAATCTGAAATCAGAAGGAGAAGGATACACAGGGAAAGAGACATAGGGAAGGATGGTTATGTATTTTAAGTCACTCTTTCAAATCTATTCTGACTCAACAGTGGTTAATGGTACATGACACTTTGCAGACAGGGGCCTCTGTTAGAAGTTTTATGCCTTAAAGGATACCATGGAGAAATGCTCTAAGAATCAGATTTTTTTATATAGATTCCTCCTTTCACATCTAATTGCATTGCCAATAACAACTTGGGCCTTGCTGATCAAATCTTCTGGTATCCTAATGAATATCTCCATACTTTAAGTGTTGAAGTCAACAAAAACCTTCCTAGTGTTACTGATGTGATCCAAATTGCTCCCACATCCCAGTTGGAAGTGGAAGTGCCTAGAGCATTCGAATTGCCCACACCAAAAAGTCTGTTTGCTTTCTTAAAATTGGAGAAGATTCTCTAGCTGGAAGCCATAGGCTCTGCAGAGTTGCCAAGTGATTCTGGAAGGGAGTTTCTTTAGACTCAGTTTTGGAGAAGTCTGGGCTTGACCACAATTTCCTATGTTTTAAAAATATCTTTTCACCTCCATAGACAGAATAGCAAAGTCATGTCAAGTTAAATGAGACTGATTTTTCAAGCTTGAAGAAAAGCACAGCACCTTTTTCCTCAAGAATTAATTCTGAGATAATTCATATCAGAGGCCAATTAAACTGTAATATACTCAGATGATTCTGCCTTCCCTTGACTTACAAGTAACATCTTTACATTTCAGTCCGGAACACAGACTTTAACAATACTTATGCTTTTCATAAGAAGTTAAATAGCAATATAAAATTATTTCCTAAGGTCTGGAAATTTCATTCTCTCTTCTTTTTAAGGAACCTTCTTCAGGCTTATCAACACCTGTTGGCAGCAAGTGTATATTTCTGTGCCTTGCCCACAAGAGCAACGTTAGAAAATGTAACTGACCCTTACATTTAGTATTTATCATATAAGTACTTATTCTGCTGTCCTGCTGACACTGTAGTTCTACAGAGATTGTCAAGTTGAACTACCTGACCACTTCAGGGCTAACCAAAAGTTAAATCGTGTTATTGAGGGCATTACTCAAATGCCTCTTGGCCACTGACAGGTACAGGGCATCAACTATCTCTCTAGGAAGTCTGGTCCAGTAGAGACACACCATCACAGTTAAACATTTTTCCTAATGTCCGGTCTGAATCTCCCATGGTGCACCTATGTGCTGCTCTCTTGCATTGTGTCATGGTCTCTGTTGCTGGTTATCAGAGAGAAAAGACTGGCAAAAAGTTCTTTGTATATAAACTATCATCATGAATCATACTGATGACTATTGATATACTGATGACTAGGAATTATGTTAATTGTTAAAAAACTAGATACACAACAGGAAGACAGGAAACACAGGTTCTATTTTTAGCTTCGACATGAACACCCTGACTTTGAGGAAGCCAGCTAACCTCTTCCACTTTGTATGTGTGGGAATATATATGGGCTTAATGACCATAATGTTTTTATCTAATTCTTCCTTGAAAAGCATTGAATATCAGTCTGGTTGCAATAAAAGTGTGAGGAGTGGACAACAGGATTGTTGCACTTATTCCTTCATGAACCTCTAGATATTGTACTTTTCTTTCATTAATCGCACTGAGAATAATTAATACATTGATATCCCGGCCTAGTGTTTGCACAGCTCTCATGCACGCTTTGCTAGAGAGATGACCAAGTAGTGCAAACTTGATAGGGGTGTGGTTGGCAGCACTTGAACAAGGAAAACTCACAGCCATTGTGTTTAAAGTGAGCAGGAAGTTTAAGGAAAGAGGGACATTTCTATGTTTGTAGTGCAGATGCTTATTTGCAATCATCTGAAGTAGCTGCTAGAGATAAGAAGCTAAAGCAAGAGACTTCCTACAAGCCTCCACAGATATTTGTGTAACACTTAAAACGGCTCACTTTGGGTTTTGCAAGCCACTCCCTTCCCTTCCTTTCCCCCCTCTACTATGCATGAAAGTTTAATGAAAGTTTAGGTTGGATATTAGGAAAAACTTCTTTACTGAAAGGGTTGTTAGGCATTGGAATGGGCTGCCCAGGGAAGTGGTTAAGACACCATCCCTGGAGGTCTTGTAGAGCTTAGTGATGTGGTTTGGTGGAGGACTGGTTAGTGTTAGGTCAGAGGTTGGACTAGGTGATCTTGGAGGTCTCTTCCAACCTAGACGATTCTGTGATTCTGTGAATAAAAGATCTGTCCTTGGTTCTTTAGAGATTTCCCATCTCTTGCTCTCTCTTTCTCCACCTCTTCATCCCATACCAATACCATTACCACTAACAGGTCAACACAGCTACAGACAGGTAAGGTCAGTCTTTTTTGGTCACCAATGAAAAGAGGCAAACTGCCATTCTAATAGTGAGGGGCATTCAGTCTCTGGTTGGAAAAAGTTTCAGGGAAAAGCCTGTTTCAGTGGAATTACTCTGAATTCTTGCACTCTAAATTGAAGGAAAAACAAAACAAAACAAATCAGGACAGGACTATATTATTATGTCCTTCACTTGAAAAAAAAAAAAAAAAGAGTTTGGCAAGAAAAGAAGTGGCTAACTGAAATGTACTTGAAGAGTCCCATCGCTGAGGAAATGAGTCAGATCATGCTTCTATATTCTCACCTTACACCCCCAACAAGTAGGAATTCAGTTTTGTTGTATCCTCAATACACTGTGTATCTCCAACAAAGATGCTTGTCATTCCATCTCAGACCAATTTTCTTAAGTCCCTACACTTGGTGGGATTGATAAAAGGAGGACAATTTCTATGGTAAAAATTAATGAAAGCAAAGAATTTCATCTGAGGATTAGGAAGAACTTGTGGTTTCACACAGCTGCTGTACCTGGAGACACTGATTTAGCAAACAACTCCACAGAAATTCATAGCCGAAAGTGTGGTATGGAAGACCAAGTCATTTCTCACCTGCAACCTGGCAGTTAATGGTAACATTTGCTCTCTGGATTGTTTTCACCGTGCTTCCAATATCAACAGTGACAGCAGATAACTCAGTGTTGATAACAGTAGCTCTTGATGCCTTTATTAGCGGCTTTCCTGTATAAAAGAAGCATAAGAGTTTATCAGACCTTGAATACTTGACTCACACAGGACAGCTGGACTTGTATACTCCATATGAATGTAGCTATATAGGGCAGGTGGATAAGGGAAAACAGAGAAGTATGTGACCATCTGCTCTTTATAATATTATAATGGCACTGCATTCTATGGGAAAAGCTGTCTTCAGAGAAAAAAAAAAAAAAAGAAAGGGTACTTAGTGCAGAGGCAGAACAGCATTAAAGACATGTGGACACATATGAGAACCAGCTGAATCAATAAACAGCAGTACAATTGGAACTGCAGCGTGATGTTTGCCTAATACTGTAACCAAAACACCACCCTTTGCCAAAGGCCAAACACAGCACAAAGACGCCTGGGTGATGGCTACACACACATTAGCAGTGCTGGATTTTTGGAGCAACATCCAAACTATTTCTATACATCAATTATATTTACTTTAACCTGTGGTGGAACAAATGGCACTGGGAAGACTTGACCAAAAAAAAACACAACAAAGTTTTATCATAATGGCTGGTATAAGAAGACAAGAAGACAAGAAGGCTGGTATGAAAAGCAAGATCTTCTCCATCAAATTACCAGTTTGCTCTATCTAAAGCCTGCAGTAACAGTTTTATGTATTGTATATCTCTAAAAAAGATACCTGCTTCACCTGCAAAAAACATTTCAGATTGTTTTCAGTGTACTTCTGACACTGGTAACTGTGAACAAGTGGGTCAAGGTGTTTCCTTGCTGTTGTGCCTGTCTGTGGGGAGTTAGCTATGGTGACGCCATCAATGACCGGAAGACTTATATAGCTTATACTGTAGGTGCACTGTAAAGGCATGCCAATATGACACAAAACTCAAGAGATACCCAGGCTTATCTCTAAGAGAGGGGAATGAAGTAGCAGAGGTGGCATACTTGTGTTAAGGCAACCCTCTCTCCCATCCAAAATGCTTTGCAGGAAGGATGTTGGCAGAAGGGGAACAGCATGACAACATTGTTTTAAATTGTGCAGAGCTGTGCTATTTTTGTCTCAGTGCTGTATTTTCAAATTCATCTTTATCCAAAAATCTAGAAACACATTTTCCCCCTTTTAAATAGATGATCAGATACAAAATGGGATCAAAAGTTTTCATTTGACTCTAGAAGTTGGAGGTTTAATGCTAATGTCTCCCCCAGGTTTCATTTATCCATTAATTTGGAGGTAAGCAAGGAAGAAAAGCTGGAGATGAGGAAAAGAATTTGGTTTCAATATCAGGCAGAGTCCTGAAGGTTTAATTCAGCCTAAAGTATATATATATATTTTTTCCATAGAGCCATAGTTCCAGGACTTTTAAAAGATGCTTTTCACTTGGAATTCCTGTCATATCAGTATATATATATATATGTACATATTTTACTTTCTGTGTCTTTAATGATTAAGAATAGTAAAGTAAAATATTACATTTTATTGCTGAAATATTTCCAAAAGTTTTGATGTCTAAACCATAAAGGAAGAAAAATTCTCCAGTTATTCTCCAGTTATCCATCAGCCTTTTTTCTTTTTTTTTCCTGATTGTGTTCCACAATCTCATCAAAAGATTAAAAGTCTGTTAGCTGCTTAACCAATAAAAGAGTATCAAAGTATTGAGAAAAATGGAAATACAGTCCACTGCTATTCTTCCATGCATGTGCTAAACTAATCAGTACATTCTTCAACAAACTAAGGTTTCAGCCCCAGTCCTGATTCATCTAAAGGTGGTCTCAGCTTTCCAATTTTTCTTTGAAAAAGTACTCCCATTATGCCAAAACGTTTGTGTTTTGTTCCAAAAACTACTCTGTATCTCATTTTGATGTTTATGGCCTAATTTTATAAGATGTTCAGCTCTTTACCTTGGATGGGAGATGAAAATGTATAGCAGCTCTTAAGCAGAGTTCAGCTCAAGTCTGGGATGCATGAATATTAATTCATCTAAGAAAGTTAAACTACAGCTTTGACAATTATAATACATGTAGAAAAGCTATTTGTCTTCCTCTGCCACAGCAGCAGAAGACAGTGAAAAGGCTGTGTATCATCAGGGAGGCTGAGGAGGAGTTAGCTGGATCTAGCACAGTCTGCAGTGGACCTGCAGCCGACTGCCAAAGAGCCTGAAACTCTCTCACCAGCACTTGCTGAAGAGAGGGGGGCCAATAAAGAAGGAGAGCAGAAGCTGGCAACAACAAGGACCAGCAGGAGCAAAAATCTTCCCCCAAGGCCTGAGGTGCCCTTACAGAACCGCTTCACCCCTCTGCAGACTGAAAAGAGAAGACCCATTGCTGGATGAGTGGAGCTGAGTAAGACAGCCCAGTCTGCTCCCTGCATAACAAGCAATGCAACTAGGAAAAGAAGATCATAGAATCATAGAATCATAGAATATCCTGAGTTGGAAGGGACCCTTAAGGATCATCAAGTCCAACTCTTGACACCGCACAGGTCTACCCAAAAGTTCAGACCATGTGACTAAGTGCACAGTCCAATCTCTTCTTAAATTCAGACAGGCTCGGTGCAGTGACCACTTCCCTGGGGAGCCTGTTCCAGTGTGCAACCACCCTCTCTGTGAAGAACCCCCTCCTGATGTCAAGCCTAAATTTCCCCTGCCTCAGCTTAACCCCGTTCCCGCGGGTCCTGTCGCTGGTGTTAATGGAGAAAAGGTTTCCTGCCTCTCGATACCCCCTTACGAGGAAGTTGTAGACGGCGATGAGGTCTCCCCTCAGCCTCCTCTTCTCCAGGCTGAACAGGCCCAGTGCCCTCAGCTGTTCCTCGTACATCTTCCCCTCCAGGCCTTTCACCATCTTCGTAGCCCTCCTCTGGACACTCTCCAACAGTTTCATGTCCTTTTTATACTGTGGTGCCCAGAACTGCACACAGTACTCGAGGTGAGGCCGCACCAGCGCAGAGTAGAGCGGGACAATCACCTCCCTCGACCTACTAGCGATGCCGTGCTTGATGCACCCCAGGACACGGTTGGCCCTCCTGGCTGCCAGGGCACACTGCCGGCTCATATTCAACTTGCTGTCTACCACGACCCCCAGATCCCTCTCTTCTAGGCTGCTCTCCAGCGTCTCATCGCCCAGTCTGTACGTGCAGCCAGGGTTTCCCCGTCTCAGGTGCAGGACCCGGCACTTGCTCCTATTGAACTTCATGTGGTTGGTGATCGCGCATCTCTCCAACCTATCCAGATCCCTCTGCAAAGCCTTTCCACCCTCATTTGAGTCCACAACTCCTCCAAGTTTGGTGTCATCAGCAAACTTGCTCAAAATACCTTCTATTCCTACATCCAGATCGTTTATAAAAATATTGAAAAGTACCGGCCCTAAAATGGAGCCTTGAGGGACCCCACTGGTGACCGCCCGCCAGCCTGACGCAGCCCCATTTACCATATCCCTTTGGGCCCTGCCCGTTAGCCAATTGCTCACCCATCGTATGATGTTTTTATTTAGCTGTATGGTGGACATTTTGTCCAGTAGGATCCTATGGGAAACCGTGTCAAAAGCCTTGCTGAAGTCCAAAAAAATCACATCAGCTGGTTTCCCTTGGTCCACCATACGGGTGATCTTATCATAAAAGGAAATCAGGTTAGTTAGGCAGGACCTACCCTTCACAAACCCATGCTGGCTGGGACCAATGACTGCTTTGTCCCCCAGGTGCACCTCAATAAGTTCAAGAACCATCTTCTCCATGATTTTACCAGGCACTGACGTGAGACTGACAGGCCTGTAATTGCTAGGGTCTTCTTTCTGACCCTTCTTGAAAATGGGCACAACATTTGCCAGCTTCCAGTCTACCGGGACCTCTCCAGATTCCCAGGATCGTTGAAAAATAATTGAGAGAGGTTCCGCGATGACGTCCGCCAGCTCTTTCAGCACCCGGGGATGAATCCCATCCGGACCCATGGACTTGTAGGGATCCAGGTGGAGTAGCAAATCCCGCACACGTTCAGGGTCGGTTGGGAGTTTGTCATCCCCACTGTCCTGGTCCTCCAGCTCAGGGCACCCTGGGTCCCGAAGCCCATCATCGGCATTGAAGACAGAGGCAAAGAAGGCGTTAAGCGTCTCTGCTTTGCCTATGTCATTGTCTGTGAGGAGACCTTCCCTATCAAGGAGCGGCCCTATGTATTCTTTAGTTCTCCTTTTTCCATTCACATATCTAAAAAAACCCTTTTTATTTTCTCTCACAGACACAGCCAGCTTCAACTCTAGGTCTGCTTTAGCCACACGAATTTTCTCCCTACAAACATGAGTGGTAGTTGTAGGAGTCTTTCTCCTGAGAGGTACAGAGGTGCTGATCTGACCGCCTGCTGGATCTGCTCTTGAAAGAAGTCTGCTGCTTACCAGGGGCTTGCATTATGGGTGTTACCAACAGACTACCAAATACAGACAAATGACTATTATCCTGTCAAACTGAGGTGCAAGAAGTAAATGCACAGGCAGTTGAAGCAATGACATGTGGCCTGGGAAGAGTACAGAGATACTGTCTGGATGTGCAGGGATGGGATCAGAAAAACCACGACACAGATGGAAATAAGCATTTCAAGGGATACAAAAAATAACAAGAGGGGATTCTATGGGTTCTTGGACCAGAAAAGAAGGCCAAGGAGAGTGTGTGCCCCCTAACAGATGAGCAGAGGGCCCTCTCTGAGGTGCTCAGCAACACGCTTCATTGGGTTAGAAACTGGCTGGATAGCTGGGCCCAAAGAATCGTAGTGAATGGAGTCAAATCCAGTTGGAGGCCAGTCACTAGTGGCGTCCCCCAGGGCTCGGTGCTGGGGCCAGTTCTCTTTAATATCTTCATTGATGATCTGGATGAGGGGATTGAGTGCACCCTCAGTAAGTTTGCAGATGATACCAAGTTAGGTGTGTGTGTCGATCTGCTCGAGGGTAGGAAGGCTCTGCAGAAGGATCTGGATAGGCTGCACCGATGGGCTGAGGTCAACTGCATGAAATTCAACAAGGCCAAGTGCCAGGTCCTGCACCTGTGGTGCAGTAACCCCAAGCAGAGCTACAGACTGGGAGAGGAATAGTTGGAAAGCTGCCTGGTGGAGAAGGACCTGGGAGTTGGTGGATAGTCGGCTGAATATGAGCCAGCAGTGTGCTCAGGTGGCCAAGAAGGCCAACAGCATCCTGGCTTGTATAAGAAGCAGTGTGACCAGCAGGGCTAGGGAGGTGATCGTCCCCCTGTACTCGGCTCTGGTGAGGCCACACCTTGAGTACTGTGTTCAGTTTTGGGCCCCTCGCTACAAGAAGGACATCGAGGTGCTCGAGCGAGTCCAGAAGGGCAACGAAGCTGGTGAGGGGCCTGGAGAACAAGTCCTATGAGGAGTGGCTGAGGGAGCTGGGATTGTTCAGTCTGGAGAAAAGGAGGCTCAGGGGTGACCTTATTGCTCTCTACAGGTACCTTAAAGGAGGCAGTAGCGAGGTGGAGGTTGGTCTGTTCTCCCACGTGCCTGGTGACAGGACAAGGGGGAATGGGCTTAAGTTGTGCCAGGGGAGGTTTAGGTTGGATGTTAGGAAGAACTTCTTTACCGAAAGGGTTGTTAGGCACTGGAATGGGCTGCCCAATGGTACTGGGTCTGGCTGAAGTGGTGGAGTCACCATCCCTGGAGGTCTTTAAAAGACATTTAGATATAGAGCTTAGTGATATGGTTTAGTAGAGGACTGTTGGTGTTAGGTCAGAGGTTGGACTCAATGATCTTGAGGTCTCTTTCAACCTAGAAATTCTGTGATTCTGTGATTCTTTGCTTCAGTCTTCACTGGTGGTCAGGCTTCCCACATCTCTTGTTTCCCTGAACCTGTAGGTGAGGGCTGGGGGAGCAAAGTCCCTCCCACTGTAAGTGAAGAGCAAGTTTGAGACCTTCTCATGAAATTGAACAGGTACAAGTTCATGGGACCTGATGAAATGCATCCCAGAGTCCTGAGGGAACTGGCTGATAGAGTTGCCAAGCCTCTCTCCATCTTATTTCAAAAGTCATGGCAGCCAGGTGAAATCTCTGGTGACTGGAAAAGGGGAAATATCACTTCCTTTTTTAAAAAGGGCTGAAATGAGGACCTGGGGAACTACAGACCAGTGAGCCTCACCTCTGTGCCTGGAAAGGTTATGGAACAGATCCTCCTGTAAATAATGTCAAAGCACCCTGGGGCAGATGTTTTACAAAAAGCTCAACATGAGCCAGCACCGTGTGTGCCTGCAGCCCAGACATCCAACTGTATCATGGGCTTCATCAAAAGCCGTGTTGCCAGCAGGTCAAGGGAGGTGATTCTCCCAATCTGCTCTGCTATTCTGATATGCCACCTGGAGCCCTGCATTCAGCTCTGTCCTCCCCTGCACAAGAAGAACATGGATCTATTACAATGAGTCCAGAGGATGGTCATGAAGATGATCAGAGGGCTGGAGCATCTCTCTTATGAAGACAGGCTGAGGGAGTTGGGGTTGTTCAGCCTGGAGAAGAGAAAGCTACAGGGAGACCTTATAAGAGAAGGCTACAGGGAGGCCTGCCAGTACCTAAAGGGGGCCAACAAGAAAGTGGGAGAGGGACTCTTTGTCAGGGAATGGAGTGATAGCACAAGGGGGAATAGCTTTAAACTAAGAGAGGAGAGTTTTAGATTAGATGTAAGGAGGAAATTCTTTCTTAAGAGGATGGTTAGGCACTGGCACAGGCTGCCCAGAGAAGCTGTGGATGCCCCCTCCCTGGAAGTGTTCAAGACCAGGCTGGATGGGGCGTTGGGCAACCTGGTCTGGTGGGAGGTATCCCTGGCCATGACAGGGGGGTTAGAAATAGATGATCTTTAAGGTCCCTTCCAACCCAAACCATTCTATGATTCTGTGATTCTGTATATACATAATGCCCAGGTTATTTTTCTATAGCTTCACATGAACTTGTCTCCAAAAATTACCTCGTGCAAAGACTACTATTTTTAAAATGACTGGAGCAACATGGACAGGATAACAGTTTTGACTGACCATTTTTTGTCTTCATCTTCGGTTTCTTACTGGTGCGACACAAGCAGTTTACTGTGGAGTTGCTCCTTGTAAAACACTACAGTGCTTTAGCAGCAGCACCATTGCCCTGCTATTCTGGCTTCAGCTAAGATATCCTGACCTACAGTAGTGCAAAAAGGATCACTACCTGGGTTGTCTACATGTGGTAAGTAGCTCTTCCTTTTCTACCCTGCAAGATTCAGGTGTTCTTATTCTATGGGGCAGACAAGGTCTCCTTCTTGTTGGTGTGTTGATCACGAGAGCTTCACTTCTGGCCATTGATGCATACTTATATTGTCTTTATGCTTATCTGGCCCCAGATTCTCTATTTGCTAACAATAACAACAAAAATCAAGCTCATTAACAACAATTTCTCCCTCTGAACATACATGGATACAGGTGATTGTCATGGCCTGCACATTGGAGCCACTCAAATGCTTTCACATTCTTCAGAGGGAACAGTGAAATGGAGAGGTCTGAACAATCAATAAGTTTTCTAGCATTCCTGATCATAGAATCATAAAGGTTGGAAGGGACCTTCAAGGTCATCTGGTCCAACCATCTCACTACTACCAATGTCACCCACTAAACCACGTCCCTAGGTGTCAGGTGTGTCTCCTTTTAGCTTTGTAATAAATAGGATCCTGCTTCTCCAAAACCTCTATGTCTTGTCACAGTCCTTAACTGTAACTCCCTTCTCTTCCTTTGTCTTTACCCAATTGTCTCTCATTCATGTTTGTTGTTGTGTGCCTCTCCTACTAATCCAGATGTGGTTGTGAGCCTGCTGACTCTGCCTACCAATCTACTTTAAAGAAACTGGATTCATGCGTCACTTCTGATTTTCCTTGAGTTACATTTGGGTGTGATTTCTTTGTAACTGAAATCTAAACATACAAAGTATATTTAGTCTGCTGTAGAACTGAACTGTTATTAGAGAAATATAAGTATAGAAGTTCATATATTCTGAACCTCTGTTTGACAGTGATGGAGAGTGCCAGCTATGCAGGTGTCACAGTGGATCAAACACAATACAGAGCCCGGTCATACATGGGACTAGTTCTTCATCTCTGGTATTTTGTAGACTTCTTTAACTTTCAGTCAAGTAAGTTCTTGGATCAGTCTGTCAGATTTGAAAAGACCAGCAATAGTTTTAAAACAAGGCATACAAATAGGAGAGCTTGAACTGCACTGCCCATAAGTGAGAATAATGAGCATATGCGGTTTCTTGAGAGTGCGTTTCAGTTTTAGCAAGTGAGAAAAAGTACTGATCACTTGCCTAAAGACACAAATGTCATGAACTGTCTGTGAAAATTGGGCTATGCCTCAGGGCTTTCCAAAACACATTCCCTGAACTTTCACTGACTTGTACCTTTGTCAAACCACCTTCCCCAACCACCTTCCAGATCCAGCTGTTATCCCGCAGACTATTTCTCTCCAGAAACACACAAGTGGCAGGCACCATTGTGCAATCATGGACAGTGAACCATTACCTGCTAGAGTGACAGCAATGGACACAGAGTCAGATCCCAGAGCATTAGATGCATTGCAAGCATAGAAACCCACATCAGCCTCCACAGGCGCTAGAATCTGCAAGGAGTCATCAGGCTGAAGAAGCATCCTGGAGTAAAGCAGAAAGAAGGAGATAGAGGTCTCTTAATTGGTGTGAGTATGAATATATTTACTAGGATTTTTACAGATTTAGGTGATCTTTAATTTGTTTATTTATTTTTAAAGTTCAGGCCCTAAGGTTATATTTGAAAGTCTATTACAAAGTTCAAAGACTTACATAGTGACAGTAAGTGGTGGTTATTTAAACTATATTTTAATCTAGTTCCCATTTCTGCTAATGTTGCTATGTGTATTAGAGAATGATTTCCCCACATCTAGAACATCGTCTATGGCAAGTAAAACCTATTCCTTTGCTTTGTCAGTTCCTATGTGATGTCGTCAAATGACTAGCCTAGCTTCTGCCTCCCAGTTCTGCAAAGCAGAAGCAACAACAGCAAAGAAAAAGACATTGCATATAAAAGTCATAAAACCTGCTGAAGCTGGGCAGAAAGAAGTGAAGTGTCTCATAGGCTGAGTGTCAGAGCTTGAAATAGACTCCATATTCTTAGATTACTAGGCAGTTTGTGCAAACTTAGTTTTGTTGCTCCCCTAGTAGTCAGTGAAGACAGAAAAGAATACTCAGCTCCTCCTTGGGCTGAGTCAACCATCTCTGCCAATAGGAAGAGCTGACCGTGATCTCAGTGCACTGCCCACAGTTAGATGGGATGAATACAGCCTTAACACTCTGATGTTTCTGTTCATAAACAATTAATTTTTATGGTGGCGTAACTCCATCAGTTCATGTTCATGTATCCTCATTTTCTGCATGGTGTATTTCATTGTTAGTGTTCCTCTGTTAAATTTTTTAGCTGAAACTGACGAAAAAACCTAAAGTCAAATTATTTTTCTCATCAGAAACTTTCAGCAGCTGTTCTACGTAAAATTCTTAGCTGGGGCTGTCATTGGCCTCCAAGGTGAAAGTAAGGGAGGGATATGCCTGTCAAACACTTGCTAAAAAAGTCTGCTTTCAGATACTGGAATTGATGAGTTCCTTTCCCTCATCCCCTTGACTGAGAACTGTTGTCTCATGGGCTTTAAATCAGAAGAAGAATTCTTTCAAAACACTGTGGGTGGTAGCTGTCTAAAACAAACCACATTAGGGCCACCCATCAAAATATATTATAGAAAAAGATTGAGTTGAATTTCTTTTTTTGACCCTTTTAAAGTAATAATAATAATAATTAATAATTAAAGGAGAGAGCTGTCTTATGTCAAAGGAATTTTGCAAGTGCCTAGTAAAATGCATATTTACAAAACAAACATTAATCATCTTTAAACTGCATCTTTGCTTGCATAGCAAAAAAGAAAACAAAAACCCCATGAAACCAAAGCAAGCAACAACAACAAAAAAATCAAAACCACACCCACACTCAAAAAACAAAAGAAAACAAAAAACCTCTACCCACCAACCATGAAAAGAGTGCTTAGAAGAATCTCTTCCGCACTTCTGAGTTTAAGGTTCTTTTAATTTTTACCACTTAGCAGGGCAGATTTCTAGTTAGCTGCTGCTAACAATGCTAGCACCCAGAAAATTTATTTACTTACAAAACTTCTTTCAGCATGAATCAATATCATGCATAAATTTGTTTTAGGACTGACTTACTCAGTCTCTACATGGAATTCATTAGAGCTTCAGAATTTGGCCCAGTTATACCAGCACATAATAGTTAAAACTATGTGTATACTGCTTGCATGTGTGTTAATACAGTATATGGGCTGATCAGTCAGTCCAACATCAAATATGCGTGCACATTAAAAAAAATGCTTTTAGAAATGTTTTGGTCACCTTCAGGTTGAGAAAAGAGCTTTCTTAATATTAAAACATGTAAAACACAAAAAATCATAATTTGTTTGCTCTTAATCTTTTTTTTTTTTTCCTTTTTCTTTTTTTTTTTCTTTTAGGAATAGGCCAGGTAACTAATTTTAGAAATAAAAATTGCAACATAGATCCATCATCTCACCTTTTCATTTCACCTTTTAATGTCCTTCCCTAGGAAGCAAAAATCCTCTTCTCAATAATTCTATTATTTGTGTGTCACAATTTGGCATAGCTGCTTTTCTTGAAAGTAGATACTTCATTATCCACTTTTGTATAGAAAGATTTTGGCTGGATTCCCTATTTGCTCATAGATTACTATTTTTGCTAGGTTTTGAGTTGCTTGTCAGCAGTGAAAAAAAATACCATCTGTAGTAATTTCTTCTGTCACCAACATGTCTTCAGAATCTCATTTATGGACTTAAAATAATACAGCTTAATGTTTAATCAGCCTCATCTCAGTTACTTCATACTGCATTGTCTCCAAGACACAAATATATTTTACATGACCTAGATCTGTGACTAATTCAGTGACTAATTCAGATTGGTGACTAAACACCTACCACAGACTCTGTAGCATCCACTGTTTAGAGTCTGCTTCATGTCTGCTAAGAAAATACATTGCCATTTTAGAAAAGTTGAATTATCAAGTACTGAAGGGTTTCCACTGATGAAAGTCACAGCATACTTGGAAAAAAAGATATTTGTTGACCGTCTTATCGAATAAAGCATAAAATCCTCAACAAATTTCATGTTTAAAATTTCTTTCTAGAGAAGTGAGTTTGTTGTTGCTGTTGTTGTTAATTAATTAATTAATTAATATATATTTTTTTATGAAGCATTTTTCAGCATTTATAGAACTCTCCAGACTTTGGGATGGATATTGGCAGGCTCTGAAACTGCACTCAGAATCCATGTTGGTATCAACCCAACATTTTAACTTTAGAATAGAATAGGAAAATTGATGTTAAATATGCATTCAAGTTGAACATATAAATACAAGTCAAAGATCTTTTACTTCAACCACACAGATATATTCAAATTCTGCAGCTTTTTGTATCATTTAATTTCATTCTACTGATAACTAAAAGCAAACATTTTTGTTAGGCCTGTGTTGTATTTTGTTGTAACAGTACACAGACTGGGGCTAAACAAATTCATTTTTTTTGCAAGTAGAGCTACAGAGCAGTAGACATAAATGCTTTTCAATGGATAACATTGCTCATGGAAATAGGCAATAGAAAGCCATTCATTTTTATGACACCTTTCTATGATGTCCATGGCACGATGACAACATCCAGACTACACCCACAGCAAAGACATGTGAAAGTGACTTTATACCAATATTTGGTAATAGACAATTCAAATAGCCATCACCCAACCTAAACCCAATCGTTTACACTTTAAAAATACAAAACACATACATCCAGTCTTGGCATACTTAATAGGGCATGAGTTGGACTGCAGCATGACTCTTTTGACTCCCCTCATTGAAAGCACTGCTCTACCATACTGGTAGAGGAAGGCACATCTGTATTTTATTCCCAGTAAGACAGAGGTGGGGCGGAAAACTGCTTATTTTTTTACTTTTTTTTAATTTTTTTAAATTTATTTTATTTTAATTTTTAATTTTTATTTATTTATTTATTTATTTATTTTCATTCAAAGGTTGGCAAAGTAAAAAAAAAACAAACCAAACCAAAACAACAACAACAAATCAAAACAAAACAAACAAATCAAACCAAAACAAACCAAAACAAACAAACAAACAAAAAAAACCTATGAATCTGAAAGACAGCTCAAGCATACCACACACAGATGACCTTGCAGTTTACAGCAATACACTGGGAGACTACTTAAACCATGGCTTTCATTTACACAGCTGACTGGCAACCAGCAAAAGCATTTTGAGCCAAAGCCAGAACATGGCTGTCAAGAAACCAGAAAAACATCTGCAAACCAACTTTTATATGCACCATAATTTCTTAGCTTCCATTAACTTCAAAGTTACAGATTCCGAGCATCTCTGAAGCTCAGAGTACTGCTTGTTTCCTTCCCTACCCATTGACCTGGAGGAAGCATGAATGATGAATACAGAAGGAATTTGATAGAGTGAAAATTGCCTCAGCCATTAAGGAAGAGGTGTCAATGACTAATGCTGCTAATCAGCAAATAAAATGCACTTTCCTGAGTTTTTCTGACAGAAAATTTAAGCTAACACAGTTGCTTGATAATTCAGAAATACAGTATATTGTTTAAGGCCAAACTGAGTGGAAAAGAAAAGTTGGAAGCCATTATAAAGTAAAAGATGTATGTATATAATATAAACTAAAATTTCAGAAATTATAAGACTATTTTATTCTCAACTAAATGAATCTGCTGCTACACGATGACTGCTTGTGTGAGTCAAACTTGTAATTTTCTCATGAGCACAGGGGCCAGCATTAACCATACAAGGACTTCATGTAACTTCACTTCCCTTTCAAGGATGCTACAGAAATCAAAGTCATTTTAAATAGAGAAAAAAAATAATCACTTAAAGGCATAGTGCCATCAGGATGTAACCACTGGCAATGAAAATCTACATATGCAGCTTCTGGGGGGCCAAGAAGATATTTTCACAGGAGTATGGCCAAATAATGATATGATAGGCTCTAGTCTTGATTAAGACTGCATGAGATTTCTATAAGAGATACATTCGTGCTCTTAGTCTCCCCTCCCCCTTCAAAAGTCTCTACTTTTTATGTGAATGCCATGATACATAATAGCCATCACACATAGAAAGAGAGAAAAAAAACAAAAACAACCAACCAACCAACCAACCAACAACAACAACAACAAAAAACAAAAACATAAAACTTGGTACAATAGGGAAAGCAATGATTACAGAATGGTTCAGTTGCCAAAGTGAAAAAGTAGTTCACCTAATTGTGTAAGTACACAGAAAGAGTAATGTATCTTCGCCAAATCAAGACTTCACTGTCAGTCCACAGGCACCACAATAGAAATTAATTTTTACCTTGACTCTGTGCCTTCTCATTTCCAAAGCTCATCTGCTAACTACAGTCAGATGTCTTAACTGAGGTCACTGTCTTGTGCAGAAAGAGTTGCTAGCAAATCCTTGGACTGTTTTGTTGTAGCATGTCAGTTAACATGTCTGCTTCATCCACAACCTATTCTTATATACCACTTCCTCACAGAACAAGACCAAAGCATAAAATCTGAAGTACACACATGAGAAAAAATGAATGTTATCAACACAGTAATGTATGTGACTGGTATTGCAATAGTCTCTTTTTGTGTACTCTTGCACACATATAAATGGAGTGATCTGTATATAAAGGCTACCCACAGGAAAAAGGTCATTATTATTGTGGTACATTGAAAGAAGTATTTTGTTACTCAAATTCTCAGGCTACATTTAGGGGCAGACAGCTCCACACAGAGAGTTTGTACAAGTGAGGATGTAACAACTCACATTAGATGACTAATGCTTAAACATCAGTATGTTGAGGTGACTGTGATAGCTCCAATTAGCCATAAAGTATGGTTCCACAGTAATAATCATTAAAATGACCAACATTCATTTTCAAATGAAAGTAGCCATTTCATGTTATGTCCTTCAGTACAGATACAACTTAATTAAAATACTAGGTTATCTGTAACCATCCTCAAATTCAAAAGATGTTTCCCTACTGTAGCTTTACCATAGGATATCCTGAGTTGGAATTATCAAGGATCATCAAGTCCAACTCATGGCTCCACACAGAACTATCTAAAAATTAAACCATGTGCCTGAGAGCATTGTCCAAACACTTCTTGAACTCTGACAGGCTCAGTGCTATGACCTGAGGAGCCTGTTCCAGTACCCGACCACCCTCTGGGTGCAGAACCTTTCCCTAAGACCCAGCCTGACCTTCCCCTGTCCCAGCTCCATGCCGTTCCCTCAGGTCCTGTTGCTGACCCCAGAGAGCAGAGCTCAGCGCCTGCCCCTCCGCTCCCCTCGTGAGGGAACTGTAGGCCACCATGAGGCCTCCCCTCAGCCTCTTCTTTTCTGGTCTGAGCAAACCAAGGGACCTCAGCTGCTCCTCATAACGTCTTGCCTTATAGACCCTTCACCACCTTCACTGCCCTCCTTTGGACACTCTCTAATAGTTTAATGTCCTTTTTATGTTCTTAACATGGTTTCCAGCCTCTATCAGAACATACATAGGGAATGGTGTTTATAATGCCCACTGAATTTTATTCAGGGGCATTTTTACACAGGGATACATGTGTGGAAGACAGAAGCCTCGCTACCTCCACATTCTGATACAATAACCATGTTGGAGAGACCCTGATGGAGCACTGTAAGAAATGCAGTTCATTTCTCATGCAGAAGACTCTTCCCCAGGGAACTATACTGCACACTGCTTGACAGAAAACTAAATTTCAGATTTGTTCTCGGGTATCTCTGTGATCAGTCACAAAAGTGTGTATTGACATAATTCCTTTCATGAACATCCCTCTAAATTTGGAACCAGTCTAAAATAGTAAAAGAAAGAGTCACAAACTCATTCTACCCATTGAATGCATTAACTCTGAAATCTGAAGAAACACAGATATACTCAATGTTTTTATATCTAAACCAGTCTTAACAGAAGAAACCTCCACCTTCAAATAGGGAAATACACTGAAGCTCCCAGTCTCCAGACATGGAGTGGTCTGTTGACTACATTACATACATACCTATTTCAGTACTTTACAACCTCTTCTTTTCATTTACTGAAACAAAAGTAAAGCTTCTCTTTGCCATACCAGAGTGACTCGGCATTCAGACCTTGCTGCAGAGTTATAGTTTGCCACTTCTCATGTGATAGCTCTACTTTCTGCTGTGAAACCAGACTACAGCAAAATGTGTTTTGGCATATACGGTTGATAGGCCTTAAAGCATGGAAACTGCAGAGTCAAAATGTTAACTGTTTTCTTAAAGTTAAGTAATTTATTTTACCTATCATTGTATTTCACCTCCTCTCCATTCTTAGCCCAGCTGATGGTGGGCTTTGGGTTTCCCACTGCTTCACAGTGAAGCAGCACACTCAGTGTGCCACTGGCTAGGACCACTGTCTGTCCCAGGTGGGTGACAACCTCTGAAGCAGAAAGCTGTTGTGCTGCTGAAATCTTTCGGAGGATGGCAGGCTTTTGATGAGGTCTGCGCAACCTGTTTGTCATGTCCATGGAAGTGGGAAGAAGTGCTTCAGCAGATGATGTCCTCAGGGAGCTAGTAAATCCAGAAACTCGTCTGTGGAAAGGGTATTCCACAGAAGTTGAGTCAACTCTTCGCCTTGATGCTTTGAGGACAGATTCCTGATGCTCCAAGTGACTCCTAAAAATGTCATGAGCCAGCTGTACAACAAGCTGCTCAGTGTAGATATCTTTAAGCTCCTCAGGTTGCTGAGAAAAATTCCTTATGATATCATCTAAACGTTTCTGCTCTGTGACCATAGTAAATGGCAGGTTATATTCCCGGCTCTGGTCTTCCTCTGAGGATATGTTTCTCTCCATGGATTCCTGGTCTTCCCAGGACTCCAGACTTTCCCCTGGCCAACCCCTGTGCTGTAGCAGCCTTGAGACAATATCATCATACCAGCTGCTAGGGTCAGCAATGTGTCCTCGCTTTTCAGCCTTGCTTCCATTGAAGAGAATCCCATTGACATGTTTCTCCTGTGTTCGCAAGGCTTCATTTAGGCTGGCCTTTCCCATGGACTCTTCCTCCCTAATGACAGCTGGCTGCCCAGGAATGAGCTTCTTGTTGCTTCCTATTAGTTTAATTACAAAACGTTCACGGGCTGGCCCTGCTATGCAGGTGTATGTCCCAGTGTCCGAAGGCTTCAAACGATGGATTTTCATGTAACCATAGGGTGCAATAGTGATGTGAGCTGAAGTGATGAGCCTCTTATCATCCTTCTCCCAAGTGATCATCGACTTCCGGAACCTCCTTGTGGGGCAGCGGAGAATAACGGAGGTTTTGGGTAGCAGGTATGCATACCCACCCACAATAAAGTGTAGCTTCTTCTGCTTCCTTGTCTGGATGTAAACTTTCTTTACGGCCACAATATGGGGACTTTGCTTATGAGTTGGCCTGTTGTGCCCTGAAATATCATTAATACCATTAGTATGTGTTACCATTAAAAAAAACAAGCAGTTTACTTTGGTGCTGGCAGTGTCTGACCCATTAGATGGTAATGGGAGAAATTGGCCACCAGCTGCTGAACGTTAAGCTGGACCAATCACAGTAAAAGGAATAACAAGACACACTTTAGGAATGCAAAAGTAGTCCTGTCCAGGGTACATACAGGAACCTAAGTGCCAGGAAGACAAACTTTATGTGAGGGGGAAAAATCCAATGGAAAGGTAGTTCTTGTTGTTAAAGTATTTAAATAAAGACTATTACTTAATAAATACATAAAAAAGAAATGTGTTTACCATCCCAAACCTCAAATGCAATGTGATCTTGCAGATCACAGCCGTAAGGAGGAGCGAAAACAATGCTAACTCAAGGAATAGCATTGAACATAACAAAACTGTCAGGAATAGGCTTAAAAATACAGGGTATATACTATTAAAGTGGAAAATTCCAGTTTCCAGATCTTTATGACAGGTATTTTTGTTACAAAACACTAAACCAAACAGCACAGGTATACTATTATTGAATACCATGCCACATTTGGCCCTACCTTTGGTTTTGAATATCACATCTTATTTTCTCCCTGACATACCCAACATTTAACAGGTTTTAGAGTTCATAATCTACTCTAAGCTAAAGCTAGGCTGCCATTCAATCTTTCACATATCCAGCTGTCTTGCTGCAAGCCAGAGAAGGGCATACAGGGAGACTACTGCTTTTGTGAAAGGCAGCAGAAAATGCATGAAATATCATCATAAAATACATCCAACTTATGTTGCATGGTTCCTTACAAATCCCAAATTACAGAGAATTCCAAGTGACAGAATGAAAAAAAAAAAAAAAAACTTTTAAAGTTGATCTTCCGCAAAATTCTTTACCAACCATTTTCTTTGTAGCTATCCTAGCATAGTGTTTGTTTGCAGCTCAGGCTGCTGTCCTATATCTCTAAGTCTCTATGTTCCAGTTGTGAAATTTAGATCTAGATTTGGGTCAGAATTTTGGTCCATTTCTTCCAGAAACCAGTAACTCCCTTCTGGCACACTGGATTAGAACCAGTTCCACAGTAAGATTTATAGCTTTTATCCACTGACTTGTCTTATTCCTGAATATAGCATGCTTGCTCAGACACAGAAAAACAGCAGCAGCAGCAGGAGGAGCCGCCACCACTCTGCAATACTGAGCAACCTTTGTGCAAGAGGTTATGGAGCATATGACAGCATGAATTCCTTAGCAGTGGATATTCAAATCCCCTTCCCCCAGACACTCCTAACTGTCTTTTTCACTTACTTGCACAGGCAGCTAGTGCACAAGGCCTGATCAAGGATGAGAATGGCAAAGGTGGGCACAGTGAGGAATTGATGATGACAGAACCCCCAGTTTTCAGCATCTTTCTGCAAATAGCGTTTCGACTCTGGGTTCCCTCTCCACAAGTCACTGAACACTAGGAACAGAATGAGAAACATTAGAAACAAAGTTTATTAAAAGCAAAGGAGTGCTCTTTGTCCATCACCCTCACCCTTACCTCCAGCCCCACTTTGCGTACTCATACCACCATATGGGTCAATTACAGCTTTCAGTATATTACAGGGGAAGAAATCAGAACAGCACTTGGCCATTCAGCTACAGATGATGCAGGCACAGTAGGGAGATGAAATAACAGGTATTTCCATCCTTTTCAGTTTTGAATCTTACTGTCCCCCCTTTTTTCTATCTAGTGGTTTTAACACTAGACCCTTCTTTTAACAGTACTCCACTATAATGCATAGCTTGTCTTTGCATGTTGTTTCCATTTATTTGTGCCTGTTGGGTTGAAAAATTCCTGGTCATAGCCAAGAGCAGACCATGTTGAGTTGCACCTCACAGATTAAATCTGTGAGCAGGAAGTAAGCAGGTATATTTTATTTTATACATGTACTTGTGTAAACAGAATCACAGTAATTGAGGATATGGGCCATTGCACTGGGACACCAATGGTGGCCTGTGAAACAGCTGGAAAGCAGGCTGATCATTGTAAGGTTGGTAGCTCAGACACGCACCTGTTGCACTAGATCCCATGTGTACTGCTATAGTGTGGTACACATGCTGGTTGGAGATGGAGTGAGGGGGAGAAAAAGAACTGAGGGTGAAAAGAGCAAAAAGACAGTCTCCAAGTGAGATGGAGAGGGAAGAGTGAAGTCAGATTTGATTTTAAAAAGTGCCAGAATTCAGAAATATGAATAATATGATGTCAGTTAAACCATGTAGCAACTTGTGAAGGAAAAGAGATTAGGACCAGAGTTGCCACCTTCACTGCCAGAATGGATGTATCCCTTCCAACCCCTACAATTCCGTGACTCTGCGATTCTGTAACAACAACCATTTATTTGAGTGAAATATGGATAGATCACCACGAGAAGGCTGCAGGTAAGACAGCTCTATGAGGTGACAGGTGTTTCCTTTACAATTAAGGTACTTTCTGCCTGCTGGCATGAAGGAGAACCAAGAGAGCAGAGGTAGAGATTGCAAGAGCAGGAATGGTTTTCTTTTTACTGGCAATAAAATATTAAATTGTATTTTCCTTAGTGCTGTCATAAACATAAAGAAATTTTTTCTTAAGCCATGTGAGACTGGAAAGGGAGCCAGGGGAATGCTAGAGTCTTCAGCAGAATTTGTTTTGCCATTCTTAAATTGAAGGACGGAAGTAACTAACTAACATGACAAAAGCAGTATCCTAGAGTGAGAGAGGCCTGGCATCTGTAACGATATTTAGGTTGGATCTTAGGAAGAACTTCTTTACTGAAAGGGTTGTTAGACATTGGAACAGGCTGCCCAGGGAAGTGGTGGAGTCACCATCCCTGGAAGTCTTTAAAAGATGTTTAGATGTAGAGCTTAGGGATGTGGTTTAGTGGGGACTGTTAGTGTTAGGTCAGAGGTTGGACTTGATGATCTTGAGGTCTCTTCCAACCTAGAAATTCTGTGATTCTGTGATATGCCTATAGCAGACTGGACTAATTCCTCCTTTCTCTTCTCTGCATCATAGGAAAAGGCTAGAGTGGCCCCCAGCAGGAAAAGATTATTGACAATTGAACTGCCTTCACAGTGCCAGACTTTGGAAAAAAAAAAACATTGAGCCTGGTGGAGTGAATATAACTCCTCGTGGATGCCTTGCATGAACAGAAGCAAAGGCTGTGCATGGACAGAAGCAGGAATTTATTGTTTTGAGCATGGGTTGTGTTTATGCCAGAAGGAAAGTCTTCATGCTTTGGCTGGATGGCAAACCACATCTGTAGAGGCAACCTCCAGAGATACACATTGAGCTAGAGGTCACATCCCCTACCAGGATGATAAGCACAGATTATAGGACAAAACTGAGCATAGTAAACTTTGTGCAGTCTGAGCACATTTGGCTCCTTCATCCCAGACAACTGAGAAACTTTGTCACCCAGAACAGCACAATCAATACTTATGCATATAAAGAACATACCTGTGACCAGTCAGAGAGAAGCCATTCATTGGGACAGTCCTCATTTTTACAGGCTTGTTGGGTAACTGGCTTCGGCATGGAGCAGAAAGTTTCTGGCAGCTCTAACAAGCTTCCATCTGCCAGACGCTGCTTGCAAAGCATATCTCGCTTCTGGACACCACCTCCACATGTCTGTGAACACTGTGGGAGATGAGAGTCAGTCAACTTGCATCACACTTGCACCATGGCAAATGACAGCAAAAATTACTTGTGAATTTTGGTAGAAATCAAAGTCTACTTTCAGCCAAGAAGAAAATATAACAAAGAAACAAAAACAAACAAACAAACAAAAACAAACAAAAAAACAGGGATGTCAAAGCAGACTTTAAAAAATGTCAAAAATATTTTGGGAAGTAGAAGCAACATTTTTTGATAATAATCCAAAAAACAAACAACAAACAAACAAACAAAACAAAACAACAACAAAAACACTAAACTTGTTTCAGCATTTTCTTGAAACATTTTGTTTTCAGAAATTTATACAAAAGACATGGAAACAACAATTTAGAATTACTGTATGGAGGTTGAAAAGCTGTCCCTTCCTACACCCTACAACAGGAAAATAAGGTACTTGCACATTATGTGGAGGATTTAGGTTTAAGTGTCTGCCTGAGCTTTGACTGTGCTACTGGCAGTGTCAGATAGTATGGCAAAGTCTTCACCGGCAGAAAATGATTCAAGATCTTCATTTACAGGATATTATTATGCATATTAGATATCAGTGGCTATGAATTATTTAAATATTTATCCAAATGTAATATTTATCCAAATTCAGCTTATTAAAAAGGAGTTTGTATTAGTGAGAAAAATAGTGGATATTTGAGTGCAGTAGATAAGAATTTCTCCAGTTGATTGCTTTGTCTTTTCTTCCTTTTGTAATTTTCATATTTCTCTTTTCTGAGCTGCATGAGGTCTATTCCTAGTGCATTTCAAAACTTAACTGTTCAGTCTTGAATTCCTGTCCTTCAAGACTTCTTACAGTATGACATTCCACTGATTTTTAACTCATGTGAAAGCTGCATAACAGCTGCAATCTGCTGTTGGCCTCAACAACTGGTTTATAAGATTAGTATAATAACCCATTAAATAACCTTCTGTATTTATGGCTGTCATGACAGCAGTGTGCTCTCTTTCCAAAAGGTAAGGAGGAAGGTTTATTTGAGTTAAACTAAAACTGGCTGATTAATATCCAGACAACCCACCTCCCCTCTTTCTTTAATGTAAATACTCCCCTCTGTATCTATTTTCTAGCTATGCAGGGCAGGAAATTTTAAACAAGCAGATGAAGTCTCCTGCATCTTTATTATTTTATTTTATTTTATTTTATTTTATTTTATTTTATTTTATTTTATTTTATTTTATTTTATTTTATTTTATTTTATTTTATTTTATCTTATCTTATCTTATCTTATCTTATCTTATCTTATCTTATCTTATCTTATTTTTTGCTTTGTGTCTCTGCCCTATTTCTGAGATCTTTTTTGTGGCTGTTAGTTGGCTCTCCATTCTTCTGCTTAGTCCAGACAGTTCAATTCCATTTTTCTCTTCTCCTAGTAAAGGAGAAGGGGGAGGTTGTGCTATGCTGAAATTACCAGGAATTGCTTATAGTTTGCAACAAAGAATTATGTCTGAGAAGTAGTAAACCACATGATGAAATTTTAAAACATATACTATAAAATCTTGAAGACATGAAAGGCCCTTCTCTCTTAGAGAGAGGTAAGCATAAACTTTAATGAGAGCCTCATTTTTTTTAGGATATAAGTTTTTCTTGAAAGACAGAATGGAAGTTCAGACTTGAACACTGCAAAGAGAGATGTATTTATGTTCTGTTTGGTTTGCTCTCTAATGAGTAAAAATAGTTTTTTTGTCCCAATTAGAATGTTATGAAGCTCAAAAGCTTCCAAAAATTTAAGCAAGTAAAACAATACTTTAGTTTTCAGCAAAAGAAAACATTTATCAACCTTTCATTTAAGAACAATTCATTCCTGAGGAGAGAGTAAATCAAGAAAAATGTGATTAAAAGTATTATTTCAAAATTGCCTAAGGACTGAGGTCATATACCAGAGCCAAAATGAGTTAGGCACTGTATAAACACAACAAAGGCATGTTCCCGTTGTCAGTCATACAAATCCAAGGGAGTCTCTCTGCCCTTCCATCATGACCGGATCAAAGAGTAAGACAAAACAAATCTTTTCTTGCTTCTTGCCCTTCAGTCATTCACACAGTCACTACTTAGTGCCAAATGCTATTGACAAATGCCAGAGAAAACCAAACACTGGAACAAGATTCCTCCTTGTCCAGAGGAACACTTTTCTAGTGTACTGTATTACTGCACTGGAGCTGTGCCTGCACCTGTCCTTCACTCCTGGAACCATTTCACTGGTCTGGAATCTCTGCTGACTTTTCTCCAGTGGAACCTTCCAGCTCCCACATTATTTCAAGGAAGGGGGTAGATCAATGTAAGCAAAGTCCACTTGGATTTACAGAAAATAAGAAGCAATAATTTTGAGAGGAATTATTTTTAGACACATTTAGACACATCTTATTTAGACACATCCCATCTGAATAACGTGCTTGCTGTCTCTGTGTTCAGAAAGGTCTCACAGGTCTCACAATGCTGTTAAAATACAGAATTGTGCTTGTGTCACAGGCAGGATGAGGTTTCACCTCACCCACCCATCCATGCAAAGTGTGACATTCCTGCCTCCCACAGTTGCTGAGCAGAGCCAGTTCCTATATCCCCCAGCACCCCTTTAGAGAGGATCTGGGACTTTGCGAGAGTACTGAGTTAAAGAGATGCATCTCCCCACATTGTTACCTAATTATGCCTGGTTCAGCAATAAGCTTAAGGAAACATAGGGCAAGACTGATACTGAAGAAGACAATCCATACACCCAATTCTGCCATTTACTCATTCCTGTTTTTTATTGTTTTGTTTTGTTGTTGTTATTGTCTTTTTTTCTTTTTCTTTCTGCTTTTTGCATATATAGGCATAAGTATTTGAGCACCTGCACTGTAAGCCAGAGTGCAAAATTAATCTAGGCTAAACCTAATTGCACTTCAGGCTAACTTTAACCAGGATCATTGTGTGACTGCACAGCACCTCTGGAGATTCAAGGAAAAGGGTGTTACAAATAAGGGCAAGAAAGAGCTCCCCACAGCAGCTATTGACTCCTCTGGTAGAGGCTTTCGAGGTCCCTTCCAACCCCTTCAATTCTGTGATTCTGTGAAGTGCTGGAAAATGCCATCCTAAACTGCTGGTGGGACCATGGCCTTGGCTTCTCCTACAGCAGTCATCACTTTGATCTCTTCTACTCATACAAAGATCTGCAGACAATAATTAACACAAAGGATTGATGGTCCCCACTGAACACAGAGGGAAAGCCAACCTTCTTTCTGCCTCAGCACATGCCTATGAGCATCCACGCACAAGCATACATTGTACAGGATTCAGGCAAAAACACCAATTTCATTGTTTGGGAGTCAGGGAGGCTGGTCTTTTCTAAAATTTGTGGAAAGAATTTTCCACTTGTGGAAAGAAGTAAGTATCACTTACTCAGTAATAAAACAAAGAAGGATGAAGATTTGTTAATGGATGTCTCCTATTTGAGGTCTACAGAGTAGATATTTATAGTGGCTTGTAAAAATGAAAGCTTATATCCACATTCCTCCAGAAACACACTACTGAAAACAAGATAAACATCCTAATGGATTTAGCTAAGGAATATAACTGTTTAAAAATAAATAGCCTTGAATCTGCAAAGAGTTATTTAAAAAAATTGCTTGGAATGTTACAACACTGATAATTATCCTGTGTTTATCTGCCAGGAACACTGGGTCTCTTAAAGGCATTTAATTCAGAGAATTCTCCCTTAACAAGCATAAAGAGCCTTAGAAAAGAAAAATACTGTGCATTGCAGCTTTGTTTCTTTCTTTGCTTAAAATTATTTTGAGAGAGTGCTTGGAAAAGCATGATGAACGCCATTGATGAGTCCAAAGAAATGGCTTCAAATGGTGCCACATGGGGAGCAGATGGTGCCCTCCACTGCCTGTGAAGCTTTACTGGCACCTTCCTGCATGGCCCTCTGTCTCTCCACAGGTGGGAACATCCCTCAGGGACTCAAGATGATGTGGAGACCTCTGTAAGGTCTGTAGGTTTATATTTTCAGAAGCCTCCTGCAGGATTTGGGCTGCTGGAGACTCTCTTCAGAAACAATGTGCAGCCATGCTGGCTACACTCTGACTTGGCAGCCCTGCTGTGTGGCTGGAGCTCTCCTCCAGATGAAGTCTCAGTGACTGACATCCCATCCAGATGGTCTCTTCCCTTGCACATCCCAGGAGTCAACCAGCGGTAATAAGCACAAAGCACAATGCACTGGCCTGTTGTTGCAGGCTTTCACATGGAGGTCATCCACAGGAAACCTGCATGAGACAGAACTGCCAGGCCTGGCTTTGCTACAGGGTGGACTTCTTATATACACAGGTTGGTGGTGCAAAGAAGGAAGACAGACGTCTTTAAAAAATGAGAGGGTGGAAGTTCATTTTAGTGGATTAGTCTATTTTTTCTTGCACTACACTGTTCTCAACAGAGGCAGATAACTACGTGTAGAGAAGAGCTCTGTTTACTCAATTTTCTCCTGGTAAAAGGGAATCACAAGAACTATTCAGTGGCCTCATAACGAGGAGCTGAATATACAGCTGTCCTTCCTGAAAAGTGCAGAGGACCCTAGTTAAGCCACAGCAGTGAAATGCAACAAAAATCCTTTGTCTCCACCTAGTCCAGAGAAGGCAGCAGTTAACACAAGACGTGCAACCCGGACAGTCTTATTTAATTCCTGATCAATATGCTTGTTAAAGCCTTTACACTTAATTAAGCACCATCCTTCCTAAGATGTGTTTCACCTTTCAACAAGATTGAGAGCCTCTGTGCAGATATAAAAAATGCCTAAAACATTACTTTAGACAGGCAAAAATGTGTATGATTACACTGTTGAGGAAGACATTCAGCATCGTATAATGAATGTCTCTTCAAATAAAGTTGCAGAAAACTGCATTCTGTAAGGACTATGGCCAATTATAGGCTTTTTAACTAGCACAGGCACACCTTTGAACATATGCTAACTTTAATGTGTTAGTAAAAATCTATTTACAAATACAGAATTAATGAGTGGATACAGCCTAGCAATATTGAAAGGTAGAATCATAGAATCATAGAATATCCTGAGTTGGAAGGGACCCTTAAGGATCATCAAGTCCAACTCTTGACACCTCACAGGTCTACCCAAAAGTTCAGACCATGTGACACAGTCCAATCTCTTCTTAAATTCAGACAGGCTTGGTGCAGTGACCACTTCCCTGGGGAGCCTGTTCCAGTGTGCAACCACCCTCTCTGTGAAGAACCCCCTCCTGATGTCAAGCCTAAATTTCCCCTGCCTCAGCTTAACCCCGTTCCCGTGGGTTCTGTCACTGGTGTTAATGGAGAAAAGGTCTCCTGCCTCTCGACACCCCCTTACGAGGAAGTTGTAGACGGCGATGAGGTCTCCCCTCAGCCTCCTCTTCTCCAGGCTACACAGGCCCAGTGCCCTCAGCCGTTCCTCGTACGTCTTCCCCTCCAGGCCTTTCACCATCTTCGTAGCCCTCCTCTGGACACTCTCCAACAGTTTCATGTCCTTTTTATACTGTGGTGCCCAGAACTGCACACAGTACTCAAGGTGAGGCCGCACCAGCGCAGAGTAGAGCGGGACAATCACCTCCCTTGACCTACTAGCGATGCCGTGCTTGATGCACCCCAGGACACAGGTACAACTAAGCAAATACATGTATGTGAGTATCAGTAGACAAATTAATGTTAAAACATGAAATACAACTCAATTGTTTAAAACAAAGGATTAATGCCACAGGCTAGTTATCTAGTTTTGACAGAATATCAGGCTGGCATAAATTTTGGTTACTGGGAAGGCTGCCCAAATCCAGAGGTCTCCCATGAAGTACAGCTTCACAGACTTAGCAGGTTCATTAAGTAAGTACATTAACATCTTCTTGGCTGTAAGTCAAAGGCAGATTTTATAAAGGGAGACTGGGAGTTATATGTAAGCACAGTGCCAACTGCTCTTGGTTTTCTGGTACCATGGAATGAATTCTTACATCCGACAGAACTGAAGGTTCAAATAGACATTTTGCTTGCACCTCCACTGTACAGTGAATTTTCCCATTCCTTTCAACAGCGCAACAGTATAATTTCTTCCTTCTGCAGTATCATATCCAACATAAACACCGTTAAGTCTTTTGAATTGTGTGTTTGCATTTGCAACCAGATGTAAGCAAATAACCTTATTTCAGGTAGCCTACCAAACACAGAAAGCCTCGTACAGATCCATTGTGGGGACTGAAATTTTCAATATTAGTGTAAAAAGGCATGCATTTCATGAAGTACCTCACACTTATTTGTGACTTTGAAGGATGAGGAGTGTTTCTTGCCTTAAGCTAAATTCGTATTTGAGAATAGAAGGAATACCCATCATGCTCCGGAGATCTTCTCCTCCCTGATTGTTGTAGCTCTGTATTCCTAGAAACCTAGAAATTCACTGCTAGCTGAAATCCAGTGACTTCAGCTGATGATCACATTCCAGATCTTTTTGTTTGGGACCTATGGTCAGCCATTAAGAGTTTTCATAAATCTTGCATTAGAAATAGCAATGCTCATTATTTGCCTCTGAAAATCCTGATTCAGTTCTCACTAAGGAACAAAAAGCCACATTTTCATTTTTAATAGCTCATTAGAATGATTAATGAATCCTCCTAATAGGCTAACTCAAAACAATCCACTGATCATGCACGTAATGACTACTTTAATGATCATAAAATGAGATTAACTCATACATTCTTACCTCTTGCCATTCTGTAGGATACCAGGAGGGTGGGCAGTCAAAGCGATTACAGGCTTGCACAAGGGATGGTTTAGGCTTATGGCACAATTCGTCTGCCAAGATCACGGTCTCATTAGTTTCTCTTGATAATAGGTGAGAACAGAAGACATCTCGTGTCTGCAATCCGACCCCACAAGTAAGACTGCAGGTGCTCCATTTCCCAATCTCCCATCTGTGAAAGGGTCAGGAGAGAAAACCTTAACCACAATATGAAGTAACCTTAATCTTCCTCTTTTCAGAATGATGGAATGAAGAAGCAGTAAATGAAAGGGATTTCTCCTTCTCTGACAAAAGTGACCCTTCTTGTAGCTGCATGATGAGGTTCCTCTGCATTTTTAGTTATTGTTAGAAGCTCTTGGGCTTCAGGTCTCTTGGACTCCTGCAATATCGCAAGAACAAGTTTTGTATTCTACATTAAAAGTTTTTGATGGGCAGGAGCCTGGCTGTTGAAGACTGAATGGACTTCATTACCTGGTTCTTTTCTGTCTTTAAGCAAAAGAAAAAAGCTAGTAACAATATTCATCAGAGGAATATATTAGTGAATTCCTGCGTTGGAATTTCTTCCAGAAGATCCAGGGGACCCCTGGGGTTCCTGACAGGCTTTTCCTTGTTGTTGAATAGGGAGTGCTATGGCCTTGAAAGATGCAACAGGAGAGCAGAAAGACCCTCTTTATCATCTGGGTAAACAACTGCTACTGACCCAACCTTTCTCTGTGCTAGCTGTATAAATTTTGAATCAAAAGGATTTATCATGGCTCAGTTTCAGTGTCCATCACAAGAAAAACAGATTTCTGTTGTTTGGCATACTGAAAACACCCTCTAATTCTGTCAGCAATATGTTGAAAATTGCTTAAAATGTCAAGTCTCACTCTTGCACTCTACTAGAAATCAATTCAGAGATATACAGAAACACATATACAAAGAAGTCTTGTATCTAGAGTGAGAATATAAGAGAATAGTCTTCCCATCCACTTCAGACAAAACACTAGACTGATGTAGGCATACTCCTACATCCAAAATGAAAGTACAAAAGCCAGATACTGACACTTTTTCTAATCCTGAAGAATAGCTTTCTTGCCTGTATGATGTTACTGAAACCAATTGTCAAGGGAGTAAATTAAACATTCAGGACAAGGAAAGCTCAGACAACCTGCCCTTGTAGAAAGCAAAGCCAGGCAGAAACTAAAAGGAGTGATTATGATGAAAGACACCCTCTGGCTCCAACAGGACTGAGGCAGACAATGAAGGAAAGTTATGAAACATGTCAGCAACAAGAAGCAGAATTTATGAAGGAGTTATGGGGAAAAACTCAGATGTTTTAGGATCAGCAGTCAATGGAAATGTCTCAGCATGTTTAAAATGCACCATGTTAGTAAACATTTTACGGAAAAAAACATATCACGGACTCTCACAGAATTATTCTAACTTCTCTTTTTATTTTATAAAGTTGTTCTGTGTATTTTTTCCTTCTCTCTCAATAACATTCATAAACAAATTTAAAAGATTGTAGGTAAGAAATGCATTTTCCTCAGTAGATGATAATGCAAAGGCAAAAAGCCACTCTGTTCCCCTTCTGAGCTCCATCTTCTGATTACTTTTTCTGATTTTATAGTAGGACAGGATGTGCCCTGAGCATCACTGTATGCAATATTAATGGCACTCTAGTTTACTTTTAGACAATAGCCTTGGTAGTGAAATCCACCTTCTCTTCCCTAAATGCCACAGAACTATTCTGCCATTAACAACCAGAAAAATGTGTTTAACCCTTTCTAAAAATTAATACACCCTGCATATTGAGGAAGAAATTGCTATGGCCACTTTCCAGGCTGTAATACACTGAAGACCACTTAAGTCTGATACTGGGAGCTATTTAGCAGTAGAAGAAGAGTGACATCTGGCAGCCAGTTAAACTAATCTGGAGTATGTTCTCCATATGAATGATTTTGGGGGATAGGTCTTCCCAGATTTTCCCATAAAATTGTCAGTCAGAATTAATGTGGATATCAGCTACCCTTCAGTTTTTGGCACAATCTAAACTGAGATATTTGAGTAGGTGCTGAAAAGAAGGCATTTTCTTATTTCAGAATCTATTTTCATACATGGTTAGTTGCCAAAAGTTGCTTTTATTCAAGTGGTGGTAATAGCTGTTGCCTCCAGCAACTCATTGTTTGTTATTGGTATAAGAGCACAATGTTTCTTTTGGCAGATCACATCTCAGTGGCCAGCAGGCCACATAAACTCTTTGGAGATCTTGGCTTCTGCAGAAGAGGGTGACTGTTCCTTCTTCCAGAAAGAAATGTTGAATTTCAATAAAGAGAAAACATTTTTTTTTCCTAATGTTTGAATTTTCTGTTGCAGGTTGCATCTGTTGCCCTACCCATAATATTGTTTTATTCACAATTCCTTCCAGCTGCTCTAAACAGGAGAGTTCTCAGAGGTGTTCAGGAAATATGAAGTCAAATTCTCTCTTACCCTTGCGTTTTCATTGACTTTTTGGGCTTTCATAGATACAAAGCAAAGAATGTAGAATAGAGTAGGGATATACAAAGTAGAGTAGGGATATGCAAGCAACCAAAATCACAGATGATATAGATTGGCAGAATTTCACAGTCCTACAAAAATAGAGAGAAATCAGTAATAATCTTATTGAATAGAATCACAGGACTGTAGGATTATTTTATAATAGCTACAGGTGATTGCACCACTTTGTAAAATAGGTAGGAGAGTACTACTACAAGTAGTTTACAAACTATCTTTCTTCTGTTGGAGATAGTATTTTTTTCTTTTAATACTGTCTCACTTCAATAATACAATTTTATCCTTACTATAGAATGTTATGAATGTGAGCTCAAATAATTTGTCTCTTATTTCATATGGTCTTTATGTACACATTCCTCTGTCTTTTTATTTATTTATTTATTTTTATTTTTGATGATTTGGCCACACTGAAATGACTTTTCCAATCAGTATGACATTAAAAAAAAAGGAAAATAAAAAAAAAAGAAAAAGAATGTCATGATATTCTGCATGTAACTGATAATGTCAGAATTAATATTCAAATAGGATAATCTTACACTTAAAAAGGTAGTTACAGGATCAAGCTAAGGAAAACTCACATAATTGGGTTTGGCATCTTTGTATGCTGACTGTGGTTGTTGTTACGGTGTAGACTTGAGGAAAAATTTGCATTCTTACTAGTTTATAGCCCAGATGAAGTCATTGGTTTGGTACTTCCTGTATTGCTTACCAAAGCCCATTGAAGAGATCGCATGGGTTTGTTCTGGAATATTCTTTTAATCCCTCCTTCTTTCTCCATCACTAGTGCCCAAACCTATATGAATATGTAGCAACACAGAAGCAGTAGCTTTTTAGCCTTTTTCACAGCAGAACTTTGGCATATCTCTTCCCCTAAGCCCCTGGCTTGTCCTAGCTCTAGGTCTATCAGTTTATCACTTGTCTGTTTCCATCTCCTAAATGCCTAAATAGCAGTTATTTAAGGACAACCTAGTCTTTAAAAATGTCAATTGCTGTATTTCATAAAAACAAAACAAAACAAAAAAGACAGAATTCAAAATGTGAAAGGAAGGTGTAATGAGCAGAGGATGGTCTTAAAACTCAGATTTTTTCAGGTATCATCATAAATTCAAAACACTAAACTGATCATAGAAACATGGCACTTTCCAGATGAACAGTCTCCTGCTTCTAGCAGACTGGTGCGATGCCTCAGTATTTTTTTATTTATTTTATTATTTTATTTTATTTTATTTTATTTTATTTATTTTATTTTATTTTATTTTATTTTATTTTATTTTATTTTATTTTATTTTATTTTATTTTATTTTATTTTATTTTATTTTATTTTATTTATTTTATAATTGGTGATTTGGACACACACATTTGTCTGAATGAACTAGTGAACCTGATTTGGCTGCTAAAAACAGTAGTTTTCCTTTATTTATTAATTTTTATACACAATGTTATGTGTGTGATCTAAAACTAAACAGAAGACTGTGAAAAGCCAGTCCAACCTGAGCACTAAATTTCTTGCACCTCCAGCAACTATAAACTAACAAAACTGAATCAATAATAGTCAGATTTTAGGAAAAGATAACACCCACCTAGGAAACATAACAGTTAATTCATATTATGAATTATAATTATAATCTGTAATATATTATGAAATATTGATTTTCATTGATTTTTATTGATTGATATCAATGTAATTTTTATAGGTAAACGAGTAACTGTAATTTTCTGGAACATACTTATTGAGTAAGTCAGGCTTCACTGGGCAGTGCTTATGCATGTGCTTATTTTCAGGTAAACATGCACTTTTCACAATTCATCATGCTCAGTATCTTTTAAAATGTGAGCATTTGCAGATCCTTTAAATTAAAGAAAGAGAACAATTGTGAAGCTCCAATTTGCCAAAAAAGGGGTCAATGATCTGAAAATCTATATTTATGTCACAACAAAAATACTCCACCATTAGAGTAAAAATATTAGAGGTGTTTTTAAAAAATAGCTAATTATAGCATTTCCTTATAAAGAAAATTCTTTTGACATACTTAACAGAAATCTTGCCTGCAAATGATAGATTCAACTTTATCATGTTATACATCAAGGAGTTTCAAGTTTTGTGAGGGCTCACATATTCATCAGAACATACCCTGGACACTTGAACCCAATGTCAAGCTCTTTAAAGTGAAACCAAAAAAGCCCCTAACACTTAATGTGAGTGTGAGCTTCTAAATAGTTCTATCCAGTTATTTTTATTTATAAATGAGCTTTCCCTTTTTCTTGTGACAAGACAAAAAGTAGCAATGCTGTATATAGTGGCTAAGCAGTTTGGGTGAAGAACTGAGGGACTGCGTGAACAGAACCCTTCTCCTGGCTCTTCAATGGACTCCAGTGGTGACTGAGACCAGCACTGCTGAGTCTGTGAATAGCCCCTTTGAGTACAATGAGAACACTCAAGTGCTGGGCTTCATGCTCTTCTCCCACATTTCCCAAATTCACATTTGCAAAGTCATAACAATACTTTCTTTTCTCTCGGGTTTCATCCGTGCTGTCTGCTTAGGCTGTAGATCTGCAACAGGGATGATCTCTTCCTCTATCTTTATCTACTGCCTAGCACAATGGGACTCCTAGCTAGACAGGAGCCTTCGGGCA